CTTTCAAGATATAAAAAACAAATATGAGGTGACAAACATGATTCTGCTGCTTGTCAAATAAACAAATAAAAAACACACTTTTTTCGTAAATGTTTTAAGAATGACTTCATCGTCAGTCAATATTAAAGGTGAAGCAAATAATTTTTTTTTTAGCATTTTTCTAATGGTGCATTCAAATCATGTCAGAAAGATCATATTTATGAGTAGTACAGGGTAGATTACTTACAAATTGTAGTCACTTACTGATTACTAATAACATGATGAAAATTTTAGTCAATAATTTAATCTACTGTAGATTACTAATTGTAGGCAATGCATTCTGACTACTTTTGGGTTTCTTTTAGATTACTTTTGACTTCACTTGTTTATATATTTAAATGGGATTATAAGTATACCAAAAAGGAGAATTATTTCTCATTAACATGCATTAAATGCATTAAACATTACTTTACTCCAGGGCTTCCCAAACTGGAGTAAATGAAAGAACTGCAGAGGTAAAAAAAAAATATATATATATATAATTTTTACTTTTTGTATTTTTTTACCTGCATGGCAATGTCACCACTCAACAGCATCAGAGAACATGCAAATGTGTTGTTAAATTATTGAAATATTTAACTTTATTAAATCTTAGGGGGGCTTCAAGTAAATATTTTAAGTCAAAGGGGTTGGGCTGACAAATTTGTATATCTCTGCATCACATGAAATATGAATAAATATGAAAACAGCAAAGACATGGTCAAAGTCTTCCAGTTTTAAATATTTTTGTCAGTTATACGTCAGCAGTGTTTAGTAACTTTGTTTCATACATAGTATACTGTAGCTGCCTGAGAGGTGCTTTTGTCCCCAAATTCAGAAGCATGGATCGCAAATGAATGTACATTACATACTGTAAATATTCAAAGCTAAACAATATGACACACAGTAGAATTTTTAGAAAGGAAAGAGAAAAAAATATTAATAAATTATATTTTACTGCCTTTCTGTGAATAATTTGTAATCATGTAATCTATAAAAAAGTAACTGCAATCTGATTATGAACATTTTAAAACAAATTTTAAGGTGTCCTTGTTACAGTGTAATTGTACATTTAAGTACTATTACACTGTAATAAGTAATATTAATTAACTACATGTACTTACTATATGGTTAGGGTTAGGACTAGGGTTACTTGCAGTAAGTCTCTGTGCAGCGCTGCTTCAAGTCCAGCACACAAAAATGACCGTGAATTTAACGGTAAAAGACTGTAAAAATGCTACAGTAAAAACCTGTTAAATGGTTAACGGTAAGTTCCCCTACTATATACGGTGAAAAACTGTATTGGACATTACATGTAATTTTACGGTAGTATACCGTTTTTGGAAGTGAAAAAAGATTTAATAATTTACAGTGAATAACCGTAAACTGACATTCCCAGAATTCCCTGCGTTACATTTCAAATTTGATGTTTTTTGTTGAAATAACTGTTTCTTAGTTTGTTCTTATCAGTTGTGTACATTAGAGTTGTATGTTACATCTAATGTTGTGAAATTAATGTTTATTGCATGATTTCAGTTTCATGTGTGTTACCATGATGGTGTTTAGTGTTTGTGTGAATGACACTGTGCACCTTCTATATATGTTATTATTTAAAAGCTGCTTGTGATGGGCTTTGGTTCATCATGTGACTTTCTCATCAACACCTGCAATTTTTACAGTAAAATTCTGGCAACCACAGCTTCCGTTTTTTCACTGTAAATTTTACGGAATTTTTTTTACAGTGTAAAGTGAGTAGAATTTTGACAGTCATGTGATCTCCACATAGGAGAGCATCCCGCTGCCATGCAGGATAAAATAACTTATAATGCTGTGTTCATTTCATATAGTGTACACCATTTTGAAGATGTATTGAAACTCTTTTTTTTTTTATGGGAAACTTTTTTTTAATGTGGACAAAATGACCTGGTTTACCCTGGTGCACCAAGGACTGCAGGACTTCTGCGGGTTTTGCTATATTGGGATTCTTTGTGAGCAAATCTTAGTCAGCAGCCTGTTCACTCTCAGCTCCTCCTAACTGAGGATTCACTCCTAATGAGACCCATATGGAGGTTCCTGACCAAATCAACATGTCTACAGTATGTGTGTGTCATCAGCAAAACATTTCTGTATAATATACAGCACCTTACGTAAGCCTGACATTTTGCAGATTCAGAGATGTCGAGTCACTGGATGCTACAGAAAGTAATAAATCTTCATTACAAGTGAAGAGCAGATACTTTAAGATAAAGCATCTTTTTCTACCACAAGGGGGTGTTATGCATTATAAAAATCTGAATGAATTTTAAAAAAATAATCATTCCGTTAAAAAATCCAGAGTGAAATCTCTGTCTAACAGAAAATCTCAATGTCTGAACATTGAACACATATCTAGAAACATGGTTTTGATGCGTCGTTATGTGGCTAGACAGCCACAAACCCATCGATCCAGATGTTTGTCTCCATGGAAACACATTTGTTTTGTCATTTGCTGTGCTTCTACTTAAATTGAGGCTGCAAACAAATGACAATTTGACCTAATGCACCTTCTCTCTGTATTTCTCCCTTTCTCTTGCTCATGATTAAGAGCATCAGAAAAATGGAACTTATTTTTTAAATAAAACATTTATTTTTTAAATAAATGTTTTTTTAATTAACTCAATTACTT